TCCAGAACACTACGTTCAGATCATTCCTTCCTTACTGGCTACCCCTCCTCTTACTGTGAAGGTTTCCCCTCTTTGACCCTCTTCTCTTCTTATTCTGTACGCTTTTCATCTCGGATCTCATCCATATCCAATTACCTTTTATATATTAATAATTCCAAATCTTTAATACTAACTTATCTTCCAGATCTCTATTCCCAAATTTATTAGAAGCAGGCTGCTTCTCCTATACATTGAAGCTCTCTTAATGGTGTCACTGGACACATGGTACCTCAAGCCAGAAACTTTGAAGTTAGAGAATTATCTTTTTCTTTTCCTTTGAGATATGGTCTCGCTGTGTTGCCCAGGTTGAAGTACAGTGGCACTATCGTAACTCGCTGTAGCCTCAAAGTCCTGGACTCAAGCAATCTTGCCTCCTTAGCCTCCTGGGTAGCCAGGACTACAGGTGCGAGTGACTGTGCCCGCCTAATTTTGTCGTTGTTGAGCCAGGGTCTCACTACGTTAGCCAGGTTGGTCTCGAACTCCTGGGCTCAAGTGATCTTCCCACTTCCTTAACTCTTCCCTGACTCTCACATGTCATCCATCACCAAGATAGGATGACCATTCTACTCCTAAATGATTCTCAAATCTGTCCCTTCCTCTTTATTCTCCATGTCTCCCTTTAGCTTAGACTCTGAATTTCTCTCCTGGATGAGGACAGCAGCCATCTTTTTCCTTCTGTCCCTAGACACAGTGAGTGATGATAGTGCAATCTGCTGTGTTGCAAATATTACAGTAAGTCTCAGTAATATAACGTGATGTGGGTGGAGAGGCAGCGAGAATCATAAGACTGGACCAAAAATAACATAGCCAGAGGCTATTTTATTTTGTGAAAAATCACATAAGTTTCATGGATAAAAAGGTGACTTATTACCAAGTTACTCGTATATATGGTTAAAAGAAAGTGTAAAATGCAAAGGCAATGACGATGATGACGCTTTGCAAGATCTTTGGCACTATCCTTTGATTTGTTCCTGCAGTACCTCCTGGTATGAAGTGATCGTGCCCTAGCTTGATCTGAAGTACGAAGATTGACCAGGAAATAAATATTTCATATATTTATTATTTCATGGTACTTCCTAGCCCCCCTCACCCCACTTTTTTTTGAGACAGGGTCTTGCTTTGTAGCAGAGGTGCAAACACGGCTCACTGCAGCCTCAACCTCCCAGGTTCAAGTGATCCTCCTGCCTCAGCCTCCCAAGTAGCTGGGATTGCAGGTGTGCACCACCACGCCCAGCTAACTTTTGTATTTTTTGTAGATGGTTTCTTGCCATGTTGCCCAGGCTGGTGTGGGACTCCTGGGCTCTATCAACGCCTCGGCCTCCCAAAGTGCTGAGACGACTAGATTATGGGTGTGAGGTGCCACACCTGGCCCCCTTGCCCCTGATTTTTAAGAAATGAGTTTGCATTTCAAATTATTTTTCACGCACGACTTTGTGTCACAAAATATTTAAGTCGTTTTTCTCCAGTTTTAAGTAATCTCAAACATTTTCAATTGATTCAAAGGGTCTTGGAATATTTAGCAGGTTTGCATAATTGTATTAAATGAAATTTCATGCTATTTATGTTGTGTATTACATAACTCTGTCTCCTGTACTTGCATTTCCTCAAACATTCTGTTCTTCTTTGTCTTCATACACGTTGTCCCTCTGCCTACAAGGTCCTGCTTCTTGTCCATCTCCAAATTCACTTTTGAGGTTCAGTTCACATGCGTCTCCTGCAAGTCACCTCTGTGGCTTTCTATCCTGCACACCCACAGAACTGCACTTCCTCCCTGAGTTCTTCTGTGTTTATCTTCCCCACCAACCTATGGAGTGCACACCCACAGAACTGCACTTCCTCCCTGAGTTCTTCTGTGTTTATCTTCCCCACTAACCTATGGAGTGCACACCCACAGAACTGCACTTCCTCACTGAGTTCTTCTGTGTTTATCTTCCCCACTAACCTATGGAGCACAAGTATTTTGTGTTCTGTGTAAACTTAAGATCTAGCATAATTTCTAGAACATAAAAAGCACTTAAGGGGCCAGGTGCAGTGGGATGCTTGTAATCCCAGTGTTTTGGTAGGATGAGGCAGGAGGATTGCCTGAGGCTAGGAGCTCGAGACCAGGCTTGGAACATACTGAGACTCTATCTGTACAGTTTTTTTTTTAATTAAGTGGGTGTAGTGGCATGCCCCTGTCGTCCTAGCTACTTGGGAAGCTGAAGGGGGAGAATTGCTTGAGCCCGGGAGTTCAAAGTGGCAATGGGTTTTGATTGCACCACTGCCCTCTAATCTGGGCAACAGAGCAAGAGACTGTTTCTTACAAAAACAAAACAAAACAAATAGCACTTAAGAAATAAATTGCTGAATGAATAAATGAATGGTATTAAATACATCATGGAATCTGATTGGCAGTGGTAAACAATTGGTAAGTCAGTTGAAGCCAAAATACAGATAATAGCTAATTGTAACTGAATGTCTACTATATGCTACGCACCAGACAAAGTCATTTCATGGAGGTTTTTTTTTTTTTTTTTTAATTGATATAGGCTGGGTGCGGTGGCTCATGCCTGTAATCCCATCACTTTGGGAGGTCGGGGCTGGAGGATCGCTTGAGCCCAGGAGTTCAAGACCAGCTTGGGCAACACGGCAAATCCCTGTCTCTATAAAAAAAAATACGAAAGTTAGCTGAGCATGGTGGCACGTGCCTGTAGTCCCAGCTACTCAGGGGGTTGAGGTTGGAGGATTGCTTAAGCCCGGGAGGTTGAGGCTGCAGTGAGCCAAGGTTGCGTCATTGCACTCCAGCCTGGGTGACAGTGAGACCCTGTCTCAAAAAAAAAAAAAAAAAAAAAAATTGATATATAACCCACATACCATAAAATTCACTTTTTTAAAGCATTCGATTCAGTGGTTTTTAAAGTATATTCACAGTTTGGGAAAAGAAACCTTGTACCCATTAGCAGTCACCCCTTATTCCCCCCCTCTTCTCAGCACTTGGCAATCACTAATCTCCTTTCCATATGGATTTGCCTATTCTGGACGTTTCATGTGTACGGAAATCATACAATACGTGGCCTTCTGTTTCTGCCTTCTTAGCAAAATGTTGCAAGGTTCCCCCGTGTAGTAGCGTGTATCACTCCCTCATTCCTTTCCATGACTAATATTCCGTTGTATGGATATACCGCACTCTGTTTCTCCATTCACCAGCTCATGGACATCTGGATGGTTTCCACTTTTGGTCTATTATTAATAATACTTCTGTGAACATTTATGCACGAGATTTTGTGTGGGAGTATATTTTTATTTATCCTGGGCATGTACTTAAGGAGTGGAATTGCTGGGTCACATGGTAACTCTATGCTTAAGTTTCCGAGGAACTGCCAGACTGTTTTTTGAAGGGGAAGCATCATTTTACATTCTTGTCAGCAATCTGTGGGGCCTCTAGTTTCTCCACATCCTTGTCCACACTTGTTACTTTTTGATGATAGCCATCCTAGTGAGCGTGAAGCCGTATCGCATTAGTTTCCATTTCCTTAATGATGTTGGGCATCTCTCCATGTACTCATTGGCCATTTGTATAACTTTTTTGGAGAGATGTCTACGCAGATCCCTGGCCCATTTCTGAATTGTGTGTTTTTTAATTCCGTTGTAAGAGCTCTTTATATACTCTGGATACTAGATTTTCTCTTTCTTAATCCTCACAATCACCCTGCTGAAACAGGTAGCTTTTTGTCTCTTTTACAGATGGAGACTAGAGCCTGGAGAATTTTAGTAAGAGGTGTGATTGAGTCTAGATCTGTGATTCTCCAAAGCCTGTGCCCTTTCCACTATTTTATGCTGCTTCTTGGTGATAGAGTTTTAACTGACCGTGAGGTTTAAAGAGGGCCACACCAGTGGGTGGTTAATAGAAAGATGAATGTTATGGAATTGAGACCAGGATGTTAGAAACACGATCAACTGATTGCTGAAGTCAATGGCAGTAGGTCTCAGAGTCATTTGTAAGTAATTTGGATTACATGATATTTAAAGTGGCTTCTTACTCCAAAATTCTCTAATTTAATATGCCTTTTTGTTTTGCCAGCAACAACAAAAGTAATGGTCAGGAAAAGCCAATTCCCTAAGTATTAGGGCAGAAGGAAGAGTCATCCACTCCTGTACATCTCTCTAAGGCCTGGGAGCAGGGCACTCTCAGAATTTTTGTCCCAATTTATCAATGGAAAAAATTGATCTGCTATCACGTATTTTTTCAAGAAAAGTAATAGCTTCTACCCACAGTACAATCACCACCTCCCTTTACACATCATTAACAATTGTAAATATGAAAACCTGGGTTCTCTCCTTTGTCCTGGGTAAATCAGAATGATGCTATCTTAAGCAAAGACCAACTTTCTGGGTATGGAAGAGGCTTTCTGGGTATGGAAACAATTATTTTGTCCCAAATGCAATTTGCCTAAAAACGGATAAAGTTTTAGTGTCATCCCCATTGTGCTACTTTGTTATCTCCAATACTAGATGATTTCAAAGGAGTCATTTAAAAAAACTTGTGGGCTGGGCATGGTTGCTCATGCCTGTTATCCCAGCACTTTGGGAGGCCGAGGTGGGTGGATCACCTGAGGTCAGGAGTTCAAGACCAGCCTGGCCAACATGGTGAAACCCTGTCTCTACTAAAAAAACAAACAAACAAACAAAAATACAAAAATTAGCAGAGCATGCTGGTGAGTGCCTGTAATTCCAGCTACTTGGAAGGCTGAGGCAGGAGAATCACTTTAACCCGGGAGGCGGAGGCTGCAGTGGGCCGAGATCACGCCACTGCACTCTGGCCTGGGTGACAAGAGTGAAACTCTGTCTCAAAAAACCCCCAAAAAATCTTGTACACTTGCACAAAACTGCAGAGGCCATGGAACAAAAAAGTAAACTGAGCTGCGTGAGTCATTAACGAAGCATAGACATAGTACTGAGAAGTTACAGAAAACTCAAAGAGAATCTTTTGAATGAAATATTTTATTGAAAATAGTTAATTTAAAATCTATACATCATTTTTCAAAAGCCGTGTTACTGAAAAAAATATCAAACTTTCCAAACAAGGATCATTTCAGTTTCATTCACCCTTGCCAAAGTGTCTCCTTAATTTTTCCAGATGGACATTTTGTTTGAGTCTCTAGTGCCCTCTGGTGAAACACCATGAAACTGCCCAGAAACGTAACTCAGGCTCTGCTCACGACGGAAGGTGAAATAGCAGAATGAGCGCCTATTCCGATGGGACAGGTGTGATGTGCTGCCTTCTCCCCCAGCTCAGGAAAACGGCAGCCTCTGTGCGTGCGTCTCTCTCTTTAGGGAAAGTATTCTTCCCACGGACACTCCGCCAAGCTCATTGCAAAATACCTTCCTCCTAAGTTTTTATCATCACTGTCTTCTAAAAAAACAAAAACCTGTTGATACAGACGGGATAAATAATGAAAGCCCTAGGTCATTCAGGACCAGGCCCCTACTCCCCACAAATGTTAAAAGGACAGCAAAAATGATAAAGCAAGCTGAGCCTGCAAGAAAAGCTTTCCTAGTGGTCCCTGATTCTTCACCCTGTCTTCATAATAATCAACACCATCACTCTAGTCAACTCAGGTTTCCATTTTCTGGCAGCAGATGACCTTGTCCTCAGGTTTCAAGGAGCACACCTCTTCTAAATGGAGGCCATTTCCAAAAGTAGACATCAACAGAGTCTCAGTTCATTCTCCAGACCAAACACTTTCGACTTAAGATTCTTCAGTTCTCCTTGTATCTTATGTGCCCGTCTATTGCTGTCACGGACCTCACACAGAATGGCAAGATCCTGGTTTGCCCGGACATTAATTGTTGCCTAGGGATTTGAAAAAAAAAAAAAAGAAAGAAAGAAATGATCATGGCATATGCCAGGGGAGAGATATCGGTCAAAAAGACACAGCTCTGTTAGCTCCTTTTTATGAGATTTTGAGTACACAGGATAAATGCCATCCTTAGTTTGTTCAGTGGCTAACTAAAGAAGGAAAATGTAGAATTAGAGCAGAAATCCCATGAACATCCTTCCCGTACAATAAAGGAGCCTTGAGCTGGAGATCAATGAACAATGAAAGAGGAGTAAGACGGGCCGGGATAAGCAACACTGCTGGTACATTTGTAACAGAATGAAAGCAGGCCTCTCCTCTTTTCTGTAACTAAGCTTGTTGGAACCCAGGCTAACTGGCTAAATCTCATGAAGAAGGCTCTTGAGGCAACTTGTATTCTAAAGAACTGTGTCTGCTGGAAAAAATCACTCTATCAATCAATTACCCACTTTCCCCAACTGTAAAATAGACATGATTGCTTAATCTACTTCTTCAATTAGGAGGGATGACAATTTCCGTTAAGTTTAGCTCACATCGAAGTATTAATGATGCAATCATTCAGTGATTTCAGGGTATTTTTATTTTCCCTCTAGCATGTACTTGAACTGATTTTCGGGGAGGCTTAAAGACGGTGATCTGTTAGTGTCTGTCAGCACGGAAACAACACATCCTTCTTTTGAGGAGCCTCGTGACCACGTTCCCTCACTTACACCTCATTTCTCCCTTGTGGTAATCCAGGCCCAGCAATTACCTTATACAACATTTGCTCCAAGTCTTTCAGTTTCTGTCGGAGAACCTTAATATCTGTCTTAAAGCCTTCTACTTCCAAGATCCGTCGACGCTCCAATGCCTCATAGCGTCTTGTCATTACCTGTAAACGCTTCCCCATCTTGTTAGTGCGATCCTAAACACGGGGAATGGGGAGGCATTTATGAAGCTGAGGGAAGCGTTTTCCCCAGCCGTCTGCGCTTCCTACTCCGTTATAAATGGAAGATAATTTTGTACCTTGAAGATCTCTCTCCTCATTCCCTCTTCCTCACGAATTCGGGCAAGTTCTTCTTCTAAGGAAATGCACTGCTCTTGGTACATACCGGACAGCTTTTTCTCTTGGACTAACTTATCTTTTAGGGACTGCAAGTCAAAGGGACAAAAACTATGAACACTCAGTTCTAAAGTTTAGGTAATTCAAGTAACGCTTAGGTGAAGAGAAGAGAAGAGAAGAGGAAAGAGAGAGAGAGAGAGAGAAAGAGAAAGGAAGGAAGGAAGAAAGGAAGGAAGGGAGGGAGGGAGGGAGGGAAGGGAAGGAAGGAAGGAAGGAAGGAAGGAAGGAAGGAAGGAGAGAAGAAAGGAAGGGAAGGAGGAAGGGAGAAGAAAGGAAGGAAGGAAGGAAGGGGAGAGAAAAGGAAGGAAGGAAGGAAGGAAGGAAGGAAGGAAGGAAGGAAGGAAGGAAGGAAGGAAGGAAGGAAGGAAGGAAGGAAGGAAGGAAGGAAAGAAAGGAAGGGATTTCCAGAGGTACAAAGTGAGTTAAGGAACCAGACGACAAGGAACTTTGAGGAACACCTGAAAATCTCCTACTTCTAGACCAGTCTCGTAAACCCCGTTTCTAAAGTGTACAGAGTAGAAATTCAAAGAAATATTTTTGGCTCTGGGAAGAGTCAAATAATGGAGCTCAGAAGCTGTCCCAAGTAAGACATTATAATATATGTTTTTAAAAAGGAAGAATTATTAACAACACTTACTATACATGCTGTATTGAGCAGTTAAAATGATCCTTTAAAAACCCAAATCAGATCATGTTACTTCTTTCACACAGTCCTTCAAAGGCCTAACACTGTTGAGGGCTAAGTTCACACTCTGTACCGTGATGCACACGGCCCTCCACGACTGGCTGCTGCCAACGCTGGCTTCTTAAAGGGCATCCACTTCCTCCTTATTCATTCCTCTACAACCACAATGACAGCCGTCCATTTCCTTGAACACACTCCAGGGCATATAAACTTGCTTTTCCCTCTGCCAGGATGTTCTTCCTCAAGGTCTGTATGGCAAGCTGAGTCCCATTTTTCAGGTCTCAGCAAAAACACCAGATATGAGACAGTGTCCCTGTGCGTTCCTTCTATTAATACAACAGACTTCCGGCAACTACATATAATCTTCATGTAATTCTTTTATTCCCTTAACACCACATTTTTATAATCTATAATTTTCTTTTTTTTTTTTTTTGAGACGGAGTCTTGCTCTGTCACTGGGCTGGAGTGCAGTGGTGCAATCTCAGCTCACTGCAACCTCTGCCTCCCAGGTTCAAGCGATTCTCCTGCCTCAGTCTCTACCCAAGTAGCTGGGATTACAGGCACCCACCACCATGCCCGGCTAATTTTTTGTATTTTTAGTACAGATAGGGTTCCACTGTGTTGGCCAGGCTGGTCTCGAACTCCTGACCTTGTGATGGGCCCACCTCGACCTCCCAAAGTCTTTTTTTTTTTTGAGACGGATTCTCACTTTGTCACCCAGGCTGGAGTACAATGGCATGATCTTGGCTCACTGCAACCTCTGCCTCCTGGGTTCAAGTGATTCTCCTGCCTCTGCCTCCCGAGTAGCTGGGATTACAGGCACCTGCCACCACACCCGGCTAATTTTTGTATTTTTAGTAGAGACGGGGTTTCACCATGTTGGTCAGGCTGGTCTCAAACTCCTGACCTCAGGTGATCCACCCGCCTCGGCCTCCCAAAGTGCCAGGATTACAGGTGTGAGCCATTGCGCCCGCCCTAATCTATAATTTTCTTAGTTATTTGTTAATGTTTCTGTTTTTTCTCACCATTAAAATGTAAATACCATGAGGACAGACCTTGTTTAGATTACTGTAACTCTAGGGCCTAACCCATAGTAGGAGTGCAGTAAGTATTTGTGTTTTCTGTTTTTTGCTTGTTTTTTGTTTTTTTTGAGACGGAGTCTCGCACTGTCACCAGGGCTGGAGCGCAGTGGTGTGGTCTCGGCTCCCTGCAACCTCCGCCTCCCGGGTTCAAGCAATTCTCCTGCCTCAGCCTCCCAAGTAGCTGGGATTACAGGCACCCACCATCACGCCCAGCTAAATTCTTTTTGTATTTTTAGCAGAGACGGGGTTTCACCATCGTTGGCCAGTCTGGTCTTGAACTCCTGACCTCGTGATCTGCCCGCCTTGACCTCCCAAAGTGCTGGGATTCCAGGCGTGAGCCGCTGTGCCCGGCCAGCAGTGCAGTAAGTATTTGCTGAATGAATGAATGAATGAATGAATGAATGAACAAGGCTAATATTTTAAATCCCTAAGCGCTATAATGATCAACTGTTCTTCGAAACCTAGTTCTTGAGGCAGCTGCGACCAGAGCTTTCCGCACTGAATGGACCTTACGTTACAAACTGTAGGTTCTTTGGAATTCCTTCAACTCTCCCAGAAAAATAAATAACTTATTTAAGACATAAGGACATTACCTTAATATATTCACTTTGAGCATGATGACTCTCATGCATAACGGGCAACACTTTTCCAATTTTATCTTCTTTCTTCTTACACTGCACCCTGTATTGCTTAATCTTTGACATCAGGTTATCTTTTTCAAGCATCCATGACTTCTCTTTACTTTGGTTTTCAGATCTGAGTTGCAGAAAATCTCTGGTGCTTTCATAGAGCAGCTCTTGGGTGTGGTGAAGACTAGGAACGAAAGTACAAATGCAGACATGAGGGTGCACACACAGCGCACCTGAAAGCAAGGAACGAAAGTACAAATGCAGACATGAGGATGCACACACAGCGCACCTGAAAGCAAGGAACGAAAGTACAAATGCAGACATGAGGATGCACACACAGCGCACCTGGAAGCAAGGAACGAAAGTACAAATGCAGACATGAGGGTGCACACACAGCGCACCTGAAAGCAAGGAACGGAAGTACAAATGCAGACATGAGGATGTACACACAGCGCACCTGGAAGCAAGGATCATTCCACAATGGAAGAGAATGGCTCTTCTTAAAATTGTGTAATATATAAATTTTGTAAAATATTAGCGCTTGTAAAAATCAGATCACTGGCAATCTTACAGGTTTTACTGGGCAAAGTATAATGTATCTACCCATGCTCACTGGTTCACAGACTGGTCTTTACAGGTATTTCCCTGAGTGCTCATGATTAGAAGGACTACAGGGATATTTACACATAGCCTGCATAAGTATGGACCATTCCTAGGAATCAGACAAGGAAGAACTAAATCATGGTGTTCTGACAAGTTAATACAAATTCTATAGTATCAAAACCAGCTTTGCTTTTGTGTATGCTGTGCTCCATGTAGAACTGCCTGTATCAAAATCTTAATCCTTTATTTTATTTTATTTTATTTTTTTTGAGACGGAGTCTCGCTCTGTCGCCCAGGCTGGAGTGCAGTGGCCGGATCTCAGCTCACTGCAAGCTCCACCTCCCGAGTTTATGCCATTCTCCTGCTTCAGCCTCCCGAGTAGCTGTGACTACAGGCGCCCGCCACCTCGCCCGGCTAGTTTTTTGTATTTTTTAGTAGAGACGGGGTTTCACCGTGTTAGCCAGGATGGTCTCGATCTCCTGACCTCGTGATCTGCCCGTCTCGGCCTCCCAAAGTGCTGGGATTACAGGCTTGAGCCACCGCGCCTGGCCTGTTTATTTTAAAAAGAACTTTTTTTTTTTGACAGGGTCTTGCTCTGTCACCTAGGTTGGAGTGCAGAGGCACAACCACGGCTCACAGCAGCCCTGACCTCCTGGGCTCAAGCAATCCTTCTGTCTCAGCCTCTGAAGCAGCTGGGACCACCTCCCAGGGCGTTTGCCAGCTCATTAAAAATTTGTGAGTGTGTGTGGAGACGGGTCTTGCTATGTTCCCTAGGCTGGTCTGGTCTGGAACTCCTGGGCTCATACAATCCTCTCCCCCCAGTCTCCCAAAATACCGGGATTACAAGTGGGAACCACTGCACCTGGCCTCCTTTTTAAAAAGTCAACTTCCTGTACAAAGTCGTTTTCAACAACTTTAGCCTATTTTAATTCCTCCATTCTCTGAAATTCCATCCCAGTGTTAATGTTCGCTTGTCTTATAATTCAACACTTGCTCCTCTGTCACATTTTAACTGTCAACATGCACTTTTTCCCACCCTGAGGGAAAGCATATACCTTATTTACTGCTTATTTTTGCCCCAATGGCATGAGATTGTCAAGGATAATACTAACTACTGGGCATACACAGGCAGTTAACAGATACTTGATGACCCTTTCCTGAAATTTAGGAATAGACAATATTTCTATCTTTAAAAAACAATATTCTTGGAAGTTAGCAACTCATCAGTTTAACATTATACTGAATGATCTAACTGCTTGCAAGAGTATTAAATACCATGAAGCAATCACTACAGTTTTCTACTGAACAAATAATGTCAGATCCACTTATTTCCATGAGTAAAAGGGCACACAGATACGAGGGAAATGGTAGCACAGTGCCAAGCACACAGTAAATGTCACAAGATGAATGTACAGGCAGGTATGTGTGCACGTATATAAAGACAGAGAGATGCCGGGCGCGGTGGCTCAAGCCTGTAATCCCAGCACTTTGGGAGGCCGAGACGGGCGGATCACGAGGTCAGGAGATCGAGACCATCCTGGCTAACACGGTGAAACCCCGTCTCTACTAAAAAATACAAAAAACTAGCCAGGCGTGGTGGCGGCGCCTGTGGTCCCAGCTACTCGGGAGGCTGAGGCAGGAGAATGGCGTAAACCCGGGAGGCGGAGCTTGCAGTGAGCTGAGATCCGGCCACTGCACTCCAGCCTGGGCGACAGAGCCAGACTCCGTCTCAAAAAAAAAAAAAAAAAAAAAAGACAGAGAGATTTCACTCAGTTACCACACGGATCTCTCTCACTTTCAATGAGTTATTTTACTCTATCTTACATTACGTTCTCAATCTCAAACTGGGAAAGTATAGGCTTGTTAAAATACAAGTAGCTTGAAAGTGACACCTGAAGGGCAGTCATTAATGGCCTTGGATTTCTTCTTAGGAAGATCTGTCTAATGGAAGGAACTGATCACGTGCTCAGATATGAAGATAATGCTAAACAAGGAAGGTTATTGATATTCTGGAAAACAGATATAAAATTACAAATTACTGTGACAATTTAAAAATATCTGTCCCTTAAAAACAAAACCCAATGAAAAGTTAAGATGCTATATACTTAAGTGCAAAAACAGTAAAAATAAAAATGAAGATAGAGAAATACTGGCCAAATGCAAACACATTATACTATGTTAAAAGAAACATAGCAGGCCGGGCGCGGTGGCTCACGCCTATAATCCCAACACCATTTGGGAGGCTCAGGTGGTCGGATCACCTGAGGTCGGGAGATCGAGACCAGCCTGGCTAACATGGTGAAACCCTGTCTCTACTAAGAAGGAAGTGTCAGAAGGTGCTGCCACATAACAAATGTCCGATAAACAACAGCTGTTATAATTAGTCTGGCTGACGCACAAGGCGAACTACAGCAACAGGGGAGGAGCTGAGGCTGAAGGTTTATTTGGTGTCAGATGATGACGTTCCTAAAAATTCATGCTAAGGTATCAGGACTTTATCATAAGGTAAATGGAGACTATCAAATATTTTTAAGCAGTTGATAATTACTAATAGAGGAACTAATTCATAGTAGTGAGAAAGATATAAGAACACAAAAGGCCAGGCACGGTGGCTCACGCCTGTAATCCCAGCACTTTGGGAGGCCGAGGCGGGCGGATCACGAGGTCAGGAGATCGAGACCATCCTGGCTAACACGGTGAAACCCTGTCTCTACTAAAAATACAAAATAAATAAATAAACAAATTAGCTGGGCGAGGTGGTGGGCACCTGTAGTCTCAGCTACTTGGGAGGCTGAGGCAGGAGAGTGGCATGAACCCAGGAGGCAGAGCTTACAGTGAGCCGAGATTGTGCCACTGCACTCCAGCCTGGGCGACAGAGCGAGACTCTGTCTCAAAAAAAAAAAAAGAAAAGAAAAGAGCACAAAGGATCAGCAATAGGAACAATTTAAACAAAGGAACAGAGTTTGAATTAATATCCTAAGAATGAGAGTTCAGGGCTGGGCACAGTGGCTCATGTCTGTAATCTCAGTGCTTCAGGAGGCTGAAGTGAGAGGACTGCTTGAAGCCAGGAGTTCGAGACTAGCCTGGGCAACACAGTGAGACCCCATCTCTACAAAAACTAATAAAAATAAGCCAGGTTTGGTGGTATGCACCTGTAATCCTAGCTACTTGGAAGGCTGAGGCAAAAGGATTGCTCAAGTCCAGGAGTTCAAGGCTGCAGTGAGCTATGATCACGCCACTGCACTCCAGTCTGGGCAACAGAATAAGACCCTGTCTTTACTGGCAAGTTAACACAAGTTCTATAGTATGAAAACCGGCTTGGCTTTTGTGTAGGCTGTGATCCAGGTAGAACTGCCTGTATCAGAGAGCAGAGAAAGGACTTGAGAGGGTTTTTAGGCTCACAATCCACACGGTTTGGACTTAAGGAATAAGAAAGTTAAGAGTTGAAGATGATCCTGTGGTTTCAAGCTTGGGAAACTGAATACATGTGATGTCATGAAACTAAATGAGAAGAAGAAAGAAGTAGTAGGTTTAAGATGGGGATGGGAGTATTTACTGGGAGAAACAAACAGGGTGGTTTCAGTAGTGGTAAATCAAACACATTCAACTGAGAATGTCCTTATGGCATAGGTCTGGCCACTGGAACCAGGCAAAAGGGTGAAGGGGTTAGACGGGTAGAAGAACCAAGAAAGACAGGTGCTGCAGAAATCAAGGGAAATGAATTACAAGGAGGGGCTGATCTGTGATGCCAAACATGCAAGAAGATACTACGTATAATAAGGACTGAACAGAGATACAACTGGTCTCAGAAGTTAAGAGGTCGGCCAGGGCTGGGCGCAGTGGCTCACGCCTGTAATCCCAGCACTTTGGGAGGCTGAGGCGGGGGGATCACTAGGTCAGGAGATCAAGACCATCCTGGCTAACACGGTGAAACCCCGTCTCCACTAAAAATACAAAAAACTAGCCAGGCGTGGTGGCGGCACCTGTAGTCCCAGCTACTTGGGAGGCTGAGGCAGGAGAATGGCGTGAACCCGGGAGGGGGAGCTTGCAGTGAACCGAGATCGCGCCACTCACTCCAGCCTGGGCGGCAGAGACTCCGTCTCAAAAAAAAAAAAAGAAGTTGGCCGGGTGCGGTGGCTTATGCCTGTAATCCCAGCACTTTGGGAGGCTGAGGCGGGTGGACCACCAGAGGTTAGGAGTTCAAGATCAGCCTGGCTAACACGGTGAAACCCCGTCTCTACTAAATTTACAAAATTAGCTGGGTGTGGTGGCGGTGCCTGTAATCCCAGCTACTTGGAAGGCTGAGGCAGGAGAATCGCTTGAACCTGCGAGGCGGTGGTTGCAGGGAGCCAGGATCAGCCACTGCACTCCAGCCTGGAGACAGAGCGAGACTTAGTCTCCAAAAAAAAATAAAAGTTAAGAGGTCAGTGGTAACCCCAGAAAGGGCGTGTTTGATAAAATGGGGGGATGAACCCCAGAAAGGGCGTGTTTGATAAAATGGGGGGATGAACCCCAGAAAGGGCGTGTTTGATAAAATGGGGGGAGGAACCCCAGAAAGGGCGTGTTTGATAAAATGGGGGGATGAAGTCAGACTGCAGACAGGTAAAGAAAGGTAAGCAGGTTAGGAACAAAAACAATGAGGACAGAGTTGGCCATTTTTTGTTTTTATTTTTTCAGATTTTAAAAATAACTTATTTTTTTAAAGTACGTGTATTATAGGAAACTAAAACACACAAGAAGCAAAGAACGAAGTCATCCACAATCAGAATCGCTTTACAGTTTATAAAGTTTATAGGACGTTCTAGTTCCTCCGTGTGTGCAGACACAACGCCCATTGTATGGGATTGGGATCATACAGTATGTATCGTGCTGTTTCACACATCATAGATATTTACAATTCAAAATCCCAAAGCTACATGAGTATTCTGATAACCAAGAACACACTATGCCAACTCAATCTGTTAGAAAAAAATACAATCCTGCCTTTCTTGGGACAGAAATTTCATAGAAGCCAAAAAGGACAACATGTCTCTAGATAAAAGCACTGGCAGAGTTCCGATTAAAACACTGAGTGTGCAGTTTTTTGGTGTAGATATGTAAACTCATGTTTTCCATATTCATGAAGGGGCAAACAAAAGAAAAGGGCCCTATGACACTGAGTCAGACAGTATATCAGTGGATAAAAGAACACTTTTTTTTTTTGAGACAGGGTCTCACTCTGTCGCCCAGGCATTAGCGATTACAGGCGTGAGCCCAGCCTAGGAACGCTTCTTAACCACCAGAAGCTAAAACACCACAATGGATTAAAAGGAGCACATGAAATACTCATCAGCTCTGCAACGGCACGCCTGGAACAGCGAGATACTCACCTACGTAAGCCAGGGGTTTCTGAGGAAGACAATTTTTTCAAGGTTCCCTTTAGTTCTATGACCCACTGTTGTTCAAGTACAAAATGCTAACTTTTAAGTCACTCAGAAAAATAAAATACCCATTAGGTTCAGCTTTCTTAGACACTCACTTTTTGGTTAGCTCTTTGATTTTGTTCTGGTTTCTCTGGTGCTGAACTTCTATTTCCTCAAGGTGAATCCGTCTATCCTCCATGAGCCCTTCAATTTGTTCTCGAGCAAGTTTGGTCTGCTCTCCCAGCTGAGCCTGCAGCGCCTCCACCTAGACAGGCCAAAAAGGGGTGAGGAATCCAACCCTACTTCCACTTACTTCACACCTCTAGGAAAACTGAGCCTTTCTCCAGAAAAATTAAAAAACAAACAAAAAAATCTCACTCCTAATCCTCTTGTTCATTTCAAGACAAGGTCTTGCTCTGTCCCCCAGGCTGGAGTGCAGGGGCGTGATCATAGCTCACTGCAGCCTCAACCCCATGGGCTCAGGCAGTCCTCCTGCCTCAGCCTCCAGGACTACAGGTGTGTCCCACCACACCCAGCCTCAGCCTACAGGACTACAGGTGTGTCCCACTACACCCAGCTAATTTTATTTTTATTTTTTGTAGAGATGGGGTCTCACTATGTTGTCCAGGCTGGTCTCAGACTTTTGAGTTGTAGAGATGGGGTCTTACTATGTTGTCCAGGCTGGTCTCAGACTTTTGGGTTGTAGAGATGGGGTCTCACTATGTTGTCCAGGCTGGCTATGTTGTCCAGGCTGGTCTCAGACTTTAAGTTGTAGAGATGGGGTCTCACTATGTTGTCCAGGCTGGTCTCGGACTTTGGGTTGGGGATGGGGTCTGCCTCAAGGTTGTCCAGGCTGGTCTCGACTTCTCTTGGGTTGTAGAGATGGGTCCCACTATGTTATCCAGGCTGGTCTCGTGATTCTTTGGGTTGTAGAGATGGGGTCTCACTATGTTGTCCAGGCTGGTCTCGGGCTTTTGGGCTCCAGCAATCATCTAGCCTCGGCCTCCCAAAGTGCTGGGATTACAGGCATTACCATGCCCGGCCCAGTTTCTCTTAATGTCTTATAAATGGGGTTAGGCTATACAAGAGTATGTTCAAACGAAACCCAGCATCTACATCACACAAACAAAGCTACAAAATCGTTTCCCCTACCCTGTGATTTTTGCCTGTTCACTATTTCCCTTGACTGCCTCCCTTTAAGACACCCTTCCTGCCCAAAAGCAAAATGACTCTTGGTTTTTGGTTTCAAAAAGTACAGCAAATGAATATAAGGTAATTTCCTTCTCTGTGTCTGGCTGTCACGACTCTACATGGAGATAGTAGCCAAAGGTACAAACTGTCATTAAATCAACAGAGATTTAACCCAGTAAGGACAGAAACTTCAGTGCAATCAGATGAACAATCATGGTTCCAAATGACACATAATAACCAGGAGGTAAGAGAATAGTTCATTATTTTCCTAGACTTTAGAACCTAAGCACTAAATAAATGAATATACCACCGAACGTTGATCTGTCAGCATAGACAAGCTTCCCTCTGCAATCTCTGTATATCCCCAGGCCAGTGGATTCTTACTTTGTAATGGTTTTGGTGGACGGGGCTTAGTACATTGAACCGAAGGTTTAGAGTAGCACTTTTAGAACTTTCAAATAGAAAAGGATGGTTTGAAAATGTAAGCTCTTGGAAATTAAGAACAATCTCAATTTTCTCAGTCACATGAGGCTTAGATGGAGCCTGTGTGCAAGGAGATGCTTATCACACGATACTGAGGGTATGTTATACAAAGCCAAGCTTGTGGATAAAAGCCATCTGGGTCTGCCAAAACACATTCTTTACCTGCAGGATGAGTGTCTGTACGTCTCTCTGGTAATGTTCAGAACTTCCTCTTCTCTCTCGCGATGGTCTTCTTTTGCTTATTTTAGGATCTAAAATAGAAAACAAAATCCGTCAAGAAGGTTTTACCCGGCTTTTCCGTCTGCTATTGAAGCATCCGCATTTCCCGCGCAGGGGAGTTCAGATTCGTTTACCTGTGAGGGACGGAAAGGAAGAAGACGGGAAACACGGTAACCACAGTGCTTAACTTTTCAAACAGGAATCTGTCAGGGAACTCTGCAAGATGTCACCTAAATAATCCTACTCATCTTCTGGCAGAATCAACCACTAAATTTTCCTTAGAATCAATCACTAAATAGTTGTGTCTACTTTCTTAGTAAAATACTGTTTAATCAGAATAAGGCCAGGTGTTGTGGCTCATGCCTGTAATCCCAGTGCTCTGGGAGGCCAAAGCAGGACAATCACTTGAAGCCAGGAGTTTAAAACCAGCCTGAGTGACACAGTGAGAACCCCTCCCTACACAAAATAAAGTAAAATACAATAAATTAGCCAGGTGTGGTGGCATATGCCTGTCGTCCCAGCTACTCAGGAGATTGAGGTCGGAGGGTCACTTGAGTCCAGGAGTTCAGGGTTACAGTAAACCGTGCTCACACCACTGTACTGCAGCCTGGGTGACAGAGCCTGTCTCAACCAACCAATCAATCAATCAAACAGAATAAGGAATAAGAAAAACAAAACTTAAACATTTTGGTTATGACATATCACACAATTTTCAAAAGACAAGGTTATTTTAAAGATAAGGAACGCTAAAAATTGAACTGAGCAGGCCGGGTGCAGTGGCTCACGCCTGTAATCCCAGCACTTTGGGAGGCCAAGGCAGGCGGATCACCTGAGGTCAGGAGTTCGAGACCAGCCTAAATGGAGAAACTCCCTCTCTACTAAAAATACAAAATGAGCCAGGTATGGGGTGCGTGCCTGTAATTCCAGCTATTTGGGAGGCTGTGGTAGGAGAATCACTTGAATCTGGGAGACAGAGGCTGTAGTGAGCGGAGATCACGCCACTGCACTCCAGCCTGGGCAACAAGAGCAAAACTCCATCTCAAAACAAAACAAAACAAAAAGACACAATTGAACTGAGCAAAATTTAATTTCTTGGATGGTTCAAGAAGCTCATTAAGACATTAGACCACCAAAGGCATCATTATGAACATCAGTTATCACTGTACAGTAGGGAAAACATTTCCAATTGTGTGCGCTGTGCTTTTTTTTTGAGACAGAGTATCGCTCTGTTGTGCATTGGTGTGATCTCGGCTCACTGCAAACTCTGCCTCCCGAGTTCAAGCAATTCTCCTGCCTCAGCCTCCCAAACAACTGGGATTACAGGCACCTGCCACCATGCCTGGCTAATTTTTTGTGTTTACATCGGTTTTGCCATGTTGGCCAGGCTGGTCTTGACCTCCTGACCTCAGGTGATCCACCCACCTCAGCCTTCCAAAGTGCTGGGATTACAGGTGTGAGCCACCATGCCTGGCCAATTTTTTGTGTTTACATCGGTTTTGCCATGTTGGCCAGGCTGGTCTCGACCTCCTGACCTCAGGTGATCCACCCACCTCAGCCTTCCAAAGTGCTGGGATTACAGGTATGAGCCACCGCGCCCAGCCTGCCCCGTGATTTTCAATTCTGCATTGATGAGAATTTCTAATAGGTTATATGTTTGTTACCTGCTTTGACAGCTGAAGATTCATTCTGCTCACGTTCACCTACAGCCTGGATAGTCCTTTGGAGAATGGTGACCTGAGGAAGCAAACACTGGTATTGAAGTAGCCTTCCTATAAACGTAATGTTTTATTTTTCAGCCTTAGTTCTGCAGATTGAAGGCTGTAAGTTAAATTTGTCAAAACTGATATGATTATATAAGGATGTCATACATATGAGAGACCACACAGGCAAAGTAACAAACTGGATAAAACCCTGTGTTGACAATATAAACTTAAAAAAGTTGGCCGGGTGTGGTGGCATGTGCCTATGGTCCCCGCTACTCAGGAGGCTAAGTTGGGAGGGTCGCTGGAGCCCAGGAGCTCAAGGCTGCAGTGAGCTATGATCGCTCCACTGCACTTCAACCTGGGCAACAGAATGAGACTTTGTTTCTAAAAAAAACAAAAACAAGGCCGGGCGTGGTGGCTCACGCCTGTAATCCCAGCAATTTGGGAGGTCGATTGTGGGGACAGATCACCTGAGGTCGGGAGTTCAAGACCAGCCTGACCAACATGGAGAAACCCCATCTCTACTAAAAATACAAAATTAGCCAGGCGTGGTGGTGCGTGCCTGTAATCCCAGCTACTTGGGAGGCTGAGGCAGGAGAACTGCTTGAACCCAGGAGGTGGAGGTTGTGGTGAGCCGAAATCGCACCATTGCACTCCAGCCTGGGTGACAAGAGTGAAACTCTGTCTTGAAAAATAAATAAATAAATAATAAAAATAAATAAATACATAAATAAAATTCCAGGGCTATTTGGTAATATATGATTACAAACAAAACCAAGAACAGCCTGGGGCACAGCAGTGCGCCCCTGTGGTTCCGGCTACTTGGAAGAACAGCCTGGGGCACAGCGGCGCCCCCTGTGGTTCCGGCTACTTGGAAGGATGGTGCTTAAGCCCAGAAGGGTGAGTCCAGCCTGGGCAACAGGCCAGGACCTCAGCTCTAACTTGTTTTTATTTTTATTTATTTATTTTTTTTTAAAAAAGCAGCTCTTTGGCCGGGCGCGCGCGGTGGCTCACGCCTGTAATCCCAGCACTTTGGGAGGCCGAGACGGGTGGATCGAGAGGTCAGGAGATCGAGACCATCCTGGCTAACACAGTGAAACCCCGTCTCTACTAAAAAATACAAAAAACTAGCCGGGCGAGGTGGCGGTGCCTGTAGTCCCAGCTACTCGGGAGGCTGAGGCAGGAGAATGGCGTGAACCCGGGAGGTGGAGCTTGCAGTGAGCTGAGATCCGGCCACTGCACTCCAGCCTGGGCGACAGAGCGAGACTCTGTCTCAAAAAAAAAAAAAAAAAAAAAGCAGCTCTTTGGTGGATGTGGTGGCTCACGCCTGTAATCCCAGCACTTTGGCAGGCCAACACAGGCAGACTGCTTGCGCTCAGGAGTTCCAGACCAGCCTGGGCAACATGGTGAAACCCCATCTCTACAAAAAATACAAAAATTAGCTGGGCGTGGTGGTGCACATCTGCACCCCAGCTGACTGGGAGGCTGAGGTGGGAGGAGTGCTTGAGACCGGGAGGCGGAGGTTGTAGTGAGCTGAGATTGCACGTTGCACTCCAACCTGTGTAACAGAATGAGACTTTGTCTCAAAAAAAAAAAAAAAAAAAAAGTAGCTCTTGGCCAAGGACCTTCAGGAAACAGAAGTATACATATACAGATATGTATAAAAACGCTCAGGAACTGTTTACAGAAGTGAAAGAATAGAAATAGTATACACAGATACATAACTATTTCTACAGGAATGGAAAAAGAGATGGAGGTATGTATACCAAAGTATTAATAGTGGATTGTCTCTGGGGTATAGGATTATGAGAACCTGCCACTTTTACATGATAGATTACTATACTCTGTTTTTAATGAAGACCATGGATATCATTTGTAATCAGTATAAACAAAGATTTAAAAAAGGAACTTAAGAATCAAAACTTTCTCCCACACACAGTCTGCTCCTGCTTTCCTCTCTGTCTCAGCTACAACAGCCACCCCTCTGTGTTTCAGGTTTCTACACAGTGAAATGGGGTAAACGATGCTACTTCCTGAGGTTTTTGAAGAAAAATGCTTTAACAACTCAGGCAAACAAGGCACCATGATGGCTAATTCTCCACCTGCCTTCTCTAGTGAATACTAACGTTCTTCTGACGATGGGCCCTAGCCTGTGATTTGTGAAGCCACACTCACCATGCTCCACCAAAGATTACTTACTTTGTGAGGAGGCTCCTTACAAAAATAGGTCACTTCTCCAGCGTCTGTTCCCACAAGAGCCAAGAGATTCTGAATCTTGTTCTTGTCTTCTAGCTCCCTGCAATTCTCATGGAAAGCAAGCACATATTATTCAATGTCCCAAGTAAGTAACCCTTGCTGTTTAAAGGATCTCCCTTCTATTTTTTTTAAACAATAGTAACCTCAAATTAAAACAGTAACCTCAAATTAAAATTGAATAGTTATGTATCTAGACTTTAGCTCTACTTTGTAAAACATCAGGTATTTCCATTCAGAGAACAGGGGCCAAGGCACTTCTCAGCTCATTCTTTTTTTATTTTTTATTTTTTGCTTTGTCGCCCAGGCTGGAGTGCAGTGACGCCATCTCCACTCACTGCAAGCTCCGCTTCCCGGGTTCACACCATTCTCCTGCCTCAGCCTCCCGTGTAGCTGGGACTACAGGTGCCGCCACCTCGCCCGGCTAGTTTTTTTTAAATGTATTTTTAGTAGAGACGGGGTTTCACCGTGTTAGCCAGGATGGTCTCGATCTCCTGACCTCGTGATCCGCCCGTCTTGGCCTCCCAAAGTGCTGGGATTACAGGTGTGAGCCACTGCGCCCGGCCCTTCTCAGCTAATTCTAAAAGGGAACTCTAGCGGCTGCTGAGGGGCACTGCTCAGATCTTCCTCTTCAGGGCTGATGGCTCATTCTGCCATTTGCCAGGAATGCTGCCTGCTGATAGCTTGTAGTTGAATCTCCAGCCAAGGGAACTGCCTCTCATTCCTCAGGAACAGCCCATATCCAGTGCCGGGTCAATGAGGGAACACAAAAATCCAACCCCTTGCCTCAGTTCAGGATATCTCTGAAGAGCAATCGCAGCTTCAGAGACCCCTGTGGTGCTGGACGAGGCCTGTTGCAACTGAGTCCCAGTTTAAGTTCCCTCACTTCCCAATAAAATTCCTGCAAGCAAATCTCCACTGCACAGTCTGTTTCCCAGAGAACTCAACCTAAGGTAGCTTACGTCCGGACTGGACCAAGGAAGCAAATGCTAAAAAGGGATTTTGGGCTCGGTGTGGTGGCTCATGCCTATAATCCCAGCACTTTGGGCCGAGACAGGCGGATCACCTGAGGTCAGGGGTTTGAGACCAGCCTGGCCAACGTGGTGAAACCCCAGTCTCCACTAAAATGCAAAAATTAGCTGGGCATGGTGGCGCACACCTGTAATCCCAGCTACTCAGGAGGCTAAGGCACAAGAATCGCATGAACCTGGGAGGTGGAGGTTGCAGTGAGCCAAGATTGTACCACTGTACTCCGGCCTGGGTGACAGAACAAGACTCTGTCTCAAAAAAAAAAAACAAACTTAATTTTAAAAAACATGGGATTTCAGAGCCAGTGACATGGAGATGGCTTACAGAACATGGCGTTCTCACAGCAAGGGAGACGAGTAGTCAACAGAGAATAGCTTAAACAATAAAAGATAAGTCAAAGATGGAAAAGAGGCTGAGGGCTGCGCCCTGTACAAAATCACAATCTCTGACTCATTTTTCAGGCCCAAGTCCGTTTTTTTTTGTTTGTTTGTTTTTTGAGACAGAGTCTCGCTGTCACCCAGGCTGGAGTGCAGTGGCGCCATCTCGGCTCACCACGACCTCCGCCTCCTGAGTTCAAGCAATTCTCCTGCCTCAGTCTCCCGAGTAGCTGGGACTACAGGCGTGTGCCACCACGCCCAGCTAATTTTTGCATTTTTAGTAGAGACGGGGTTTCACCATGTTGGCCAGGCTGGTCTTGAACTCCTGACCTCGTGATCCACCCGCCTCGGCCTCCCAAAGTGCTGGGATTACAGGCGTGAGCCGCCGCGCCCGGCCTCAAGTCAGTTTTAAGTCCCAGTGACAATCACCTAAAGAAGAGGCTCGAACTCCTAGAAGGTAAAGAAGAGGCTCGAGCTCCTAGAAGGTAAAGAAGAGGCTCGAGCTCCTAGAAGGTAAAGAAGAGGCTCGAGCTCCTAGAAGGTAAAGAAG